ATCGTAGTTGTCTGGACTAGCAGTTGAAAAAAGATGAGCATGAACCAAGAGCATGAAACTTTCATAGATAAGTCTCAATCAAGGCTGTCTATGTAATATCGTATCAGGCAGCATTTCAGCTGCCTTCACGGAATACGTAAGTTCGAGAACGAGGCAAAATTCTCAGCATTCACACCATGCTGAGTCAACTGTAATTACGATGGATCGGCCACCTCGTGAGGATGGACGATACACGTCTACCGAAACAACTCTTCTATGAGGACGTCGACCGCGAGGCCCAAAACGACGCTACAAAGACACACTGAAGAATTCTCCTAAAGGATTGTATATCAATTCAGACACAAGGGGGACGTCGCCTGGAATAGACCGGCCTGGGGAGGGGAAGTAAGGACTAGCGCTGCCACCTGCGAGGCAATTTGGATCACCGCCGCCGGAGCCAGAGGGGGGGGTCTTAGATCACAAAGGCCTCGCCTCCTCGATGCCAACCATCCGCCGTTTTCAACATGCCCCTGCTGCCGACGTCCATTCTGTGCACGGATCGGTCTCGTTAGACACCTTCGGACCCAATATGCCACCAACCCGACAATGTCTACCTCTTCTCCCACTCTCATCCCCGCCGCAAAACCCTCGCCGACCACCATCCCGTCACCGTCGATCACACTGTCGCTGCCCTGCTGCTACCATCCACTGACAACATCCCCCCTGTCCCAACTCCTGCATCGACCGCAACGACCAGAATCACCACCAGCATGACTTCACACATCCCACACCAACAACCGCATCACGCAACAATATCATCATTACAAGTACTGTATTGCCACATTCCACGTGTGTGGGAAGTTTGCTTCTCAGCTCCGTCTGCATACGGCTCATCTGCTGGATGCGTGACCCGAGTCTGAGACTATCACTGTGCGCCCAGTGTCGTGGCTTGGAAGGTTGCTGACTGACGCCTCAACTAAGTCCACGCAGTCTGCCCAGTTTTGTGTGTTTGTGTGAAGTTGCGGACTGGTGGGCTGAGATACAAGCTGTTACGGCCCTTTCTTAAGCAATCTGTGACACCCTAATGCATGTGTGGAGAGTGTTTGTGTGTTTGCTTTATGGGCAGTGCCTCTCAGTCGACGACTGTTTGGTTACCCAACGTTGAATGGCGACGGCACAGGCTAAATGCAGGGCCAGGTGTCGCTCTTCTAGGTCAAAAGGTCTGAAAGCGTGTGCTATACTAATATGGGCAAACCATGGGCCTCGCAGCCTGGTATGCACTGAAAGTCCCCTGACACCTGACTCCCTGGCGTTAGATGCGTTTGCGCACCCGTTGAGTATACAGGTGACCGGCATGGCTGCCCAGTCATCATCTTGGTCCTTCTGACCCCTGTTGGGTTGTTGTTGTTGTTGTTGTTAGTGAAAAATCCTGGCGAGTTGTATGTTCTAGACCAGGGAGTGTGGTGACACGCCTAGGTGCGGGTACGAACGTACCAGTCACCTGTGCCCTAGCCCGCCTCCGGTCTTCTTGACTATGTCTTGACACTGGATCAAGATGAAGAGCGGGGAAGGGGGAGTGCAGTAGATGCTGTGCAAGTCTACTATCACTATAAACTAATTCACGCGCAAGTCACCGTGCCTGCTGCACCTTGCTGTGTAGCATACGATGGATATCTTCGGACTCGATGATCGGACTGTCCGGTAGTGCCTTTCAGTCGCTGACTGACTGGTTGCCCAGCCTTTGAATGGTGATGACCCAAGCAACTGCAGGGCTTGTGAGCGTCTGCTTTACCATGATTCAGCAAAACACGGCCATCGCAGCCTGTTGTAGGCTGGCAGTTCTCCGGTACCTGGTTCCCTGGCGGTAGATGCGCTTGCTCTCCCGCTGGACACACAGGTCGTGTGCAGGGTTGCCCAGTCATCCACGTCTTTTATGTCGTGTTGTTGGTCAAAATCCTGGTCGTTTTAGTTATGGACCAAGTGGAATGGAGTGGAGGGCCAAGGCGTGGGTTCGGTCGAGCTATCCACCTGCGCCTTCCCTGTGTCCGGTCTTCTTGACTCTTTCTTGACACCGGGCCTAGGTGGGATGGAGGAGAGAGAGAGTGCGGTGGATGCTGGACAAGTCTATAGAAGCGAAGAGACGAGTCCCAGGAAGAAGTCATAAAGTAGGAGATATGATCACTGGGACAGGAGCTTTTTTAGCCTGACGTTTCGGATTTCTACTCGAACCCATCACCAGAGACAAAAAGGCAGATAAGGGTGGTTCATACGCAGGGGGCTGAAGTATTTATAGGATGCAGACGTCATGCAGTCGGCCAGCAGTCGACGGAGGTTGCTGTTAAAAGCGGTGTTCCACAAAGCTCAGTTCTTGGTCCTACTCTGTTCATTAATTACGTCAACGATTGCGTTAGTAAACTGGACTGTGGTATCGCCATGCTTGCGGATCATCTTAAGCTCTGGAGCGCCATTCGACCCGCCTACGACGAAGAGCATTTGCAGGCGAACCTAAACCGACTCCAACAGTGGTCGAAGGTGCCGATACAAGCGAAGATGCGAGTTCCAGGAACTAGTTGATCAGCAGAAGAAGCGATCGCTGGAACAAGGGGTTTATTCGCCTGACGTTTCGGATTCTCATTTGAATCCACCATCAGAGACAGTGGCAGAAAAGGGTGACTCGTGCACAGGAAATCACAGTATTTATAGAATGCAGTCACTATGCTA